TCAATAGTCCCAGGTTTTCAGTGTTACTTCGACTGATTTGAAAAACTACAGAGTTAAAGGGTAGTAAAATAATTATCGGTCAAATGAGAGGTCTATTATGAGGGTCAAAATAACAATGAAAATCAACTAAGCAGCAACAACAAAATCTTTTTTATGATACAATAACCTTGGGTTCAAGGTCGAATTTACGAAGGAGGGTTTAATGTGACGAAAATTGTTTTTTGAACGCATATAGGTGACTTAAACCTTCTGATAGCTAATCCACCAATAAACTTGAAAATACTTTCCCGAAAAGTCATATAGGTGGATGTAAATAACGTTTGTATATCCACTTTATGTCCGTTTCAATAATATGTTTATCTACTAAGGAGTTCGAACTTTTGTTTCTAGCACTGATTGGGTCAGGTGAATCTATCTGCTTCTGAAGCCACTTTGAAATATATTTTGTGGCCCTTATTTTCAATGACTGATGACTCCTCCATATGTATATGTGACCGACCACACGTATATTTAAGGTGGTATATACAGTGCGATGTGACTTCGTCCTTCTCCAGTGCCCCAAGGAATTTGATGCTTATATAGGCTTTGAATTCCTAATTATCTGAACCTTAGCTGTATAATATGTTTTCTTTGTGGTAGCGTTAAGTCTCTGTTTGATTATCAAGTTACTATTATAGCCAGTGTGTGGTAGCTTGATGAAAATATCTTTCTTAGGGACAGAGAAGAAACTTCTTTTGATTATTTTTGTCAACCTGAACTGTTTGAAAACTTGCAGCAAGAATACAGTTAGGACCATATCAATTTGCCTTAAAAAAAATAATTATTTTCCTCAAAAGCGTCATTTCAGTATGAAAGTAAGCGTACTAGCACATATGACTTTTAGGGCTCAGCTTGTTGTAAGGACAAATGCCAACCGATAGCATTCAGTTATAATTGCATTATATTGTAAACTAAAGCTGGAAATTGAGGACCATTAGCCGCAGATGCAGTGGTTGAATAATAGCTCATTCTCCATGAAACGTGGAAATCGTGAGCTCAGTCACCGGTGGTGTTGCCGGTGCACACTTCTGAGGAACCACATACTAAAATGAGCCGTCTGTCTATTGTTTCCACGTTTTCAGTTGTTCTTTCAGAGATGTGATGAACACTGTCTTGAAAAAAATCTTAGTATATAAATTTCATTCTTTGAATTACAAGCTACTTTGCATAAAATCTTAAATTTTATCTATTCAAATTACTTTGGGTTATGAGGGAATTGTGTGGATTTAGAAATGTTCTGGCCCAGTGGCTCAGTGGTAATGTGCTGGTCAAGGAACCTGAAAGTCGAGGGGTCGAGGGTGTGCACTGCGGAGGAGTCCCATACTAGGACGAAACATCTGTCCACTGCTCCCAGGTTTCCTTTGTTTCTCCAAATGATGTCAGTCTACGGTGTATAACAATAATAATTAAAGTTGTACCGAAAACACTTTTACTGCATTGTATGTTTTTCAGTGTGAATAATTGGTTAATGCCAGACAACATATTTTCTTATCTTTATTTTATCTCAGTAATGACAGTCTGCATAAAATCGGATGGTTTTAACTGGTATCTGAAAAAGATTATATAATTTCACTATTTAGCTAATATGAGCGTAAGCGACCAAATAATGTTTATCATGACCCATAAGTTATGCATGATGTAATTACATTTGATATATTATAACTTAACATTTCCTTCATCCACTTCAGAAGTTCCGAATTGAAAGATCGATCGGAAAAGGTCTTACAAACCACTAGAAACGTTTCTTTGCTTTTCGAAATCATTCCGGTGTCGAGATTTTTTTTAGATTTTAGGGTATTCATTTTGACTAACAAATTATAAGTTAAAAAATGATGAGATTATAACTTAGAGAATAAAATTTGGGGATATTTCACAAGTCAGTTTTGATTCGATACAACTGAGTTTTACTGAGGACCTATTTTTATGAGCTAGAGTTATTCAGTCTATCGCATTCAGATTACATCTTCTTACCACTCATAACATTTCAGATCACAAATCATGACATGGAATACAACAGATAATTGTCTGACAGTCGATTATAGCATAAATCAAATATATTTTATCCATATAAAATGAACAGAAAACTTAGATCTTAAAATAGACATACGTACTTTGAAAAAGAAATTAGCCTTATCTAGTGGATTCAGCGCCATATTTTGTGTTTCAAAGTGGATCATTTATTAGAAGTCGCGATTCCCTTTCATGATATCTAACCCGTTGAATGGTGCCTTTTTACAATGCAGTTATGAACAGATTATTGTCATCCAGTTTGCTTGAGGTAATTGAAGATGCTCAAGACTAGGTTTAAACGCTTTCTGATTCCCTTTGCCTAAAGGAAGGTGGATACAACTGAAGTACCAATCTTACTCAAAAAGGATCCATTCACTTTATGGAAACTGTTTTGTCAAATATTCTCAGTTCTTTATTAATATCAGGTTAAAAAAACTCTTATAATAAAACATCATATGAAACCAATTATTTTTTCCGAATAAATTGTTATCATTGAGGTGTTAGTATGGAATAAAAATACACCTGAAAATCGTATTCCTATGAAAGATGAAAAATTTTTGACTTATGAGATATGAATCAAAAGTCGGAAGTTTCAAACTGTTCATCTGTTTACTCTGTGGCTGGTATGTGATATTTGAATGGTAACGCTGGCCTAGGCTCATAAATCACTTAAGTTTCAGGATGAAATAATATAAGCCAACCATTTCAGAAAAAAACTAAGTATCAGAAGTGAACAAAACACAGGAAATAATTGTACTAAGCGAAAACATAAATTCAAGTATCATCATTTCAACCACAAAAATACTATATGAGTAAAAGTTTGTAAAATATTTGTTTTTCATTTTCAGGAAATGCTAGGAGAGGCGTAATTCTTGAGAAGTATTTCCTAACTTAATGAAGACTAACTACAAAAGTTGATTGACTTCCATTTTAGTATTCACTGATCCTTGATTCAGTGAATGGAAGCTTTTCAAGAGTGCTGTTTAGATCTTTTTCAATTGCAGTGATAACGTTTAGTTTCATTTTAGTCTGTAGATCGAATTGTTACACACTGAAACAGGATTATTTAATTGACAACGTTTTGGACATAATCTGTTATCCACATTCACGTCAATAAGGAGCTAATGAGTCTCAAACAGGACAAAACTGGCGTCCTGGATTCCACTACTAGCTGCCATCCGTCATTAATATTCAATTAAAACACGACCAGTGTCAAAGCATCCACACAGTAGCCCATATGCAAATGGAGACCGATCAGTTTGCTCCAATCAATGACGGGCTGATACAAACAAAAAATTTAAAACTATACGCGTCGCACAAGAAGTGGCTATCGTGGCACGTTGGTCTAGTGGATAATACTTTGGCGTTTGAAGTGATCGGCTTCAAGTTCGAATCCCAGTGGGAACAACATCATTAACTGGGAGGCAAATACTTGCTGCTGACGAGTCCCAAATAGGACAAAATGAACATCCTGAATTACATTGCTAGGCACTATCCATCACTAATATAAAATGGAATTACCATTTATCACAGTCCCTATGTTTTTCTCCTATGATAATCATAGAGTTTAGATTGAAGTACTGAATTTCGTTGCTTCAATAAAGCGGAACCACACAACCCTAAACTACTGTTCAATTTAGGGCTTTTTGTTGAAATATCTGTTGTGTTGAGTAGTAACTTGAAACCCATTATGACTGAGATTTTCGGTTATAAGGGATTTCAGTGCCGTCATATATTAAGTATTTACTTACTGCGTGCAGTTTTGGTATTCCACATTATTGGCATCAATAAATGGCATACATTTCTCTGGTCCCATTGAATAGAAATAGTTTTTCTGGATGGGGGAAGAGTGGCTTTCAAAGATTAGTGACACACAGTTGTAGGGACATAAACAACTTTAAAATCAAGTGAAAAAAATACTTGTATACCCAGAAGGTAAGTCCAGTAAAGCATATCTTATGTGGTAGTGTAATTTCAATGGAATTCTTATTTGGAGTGCTGATACTGATATTCATTGTGCTCGACAATACTAATGTTGCATTTATGTAATCTAAATATGTAGTCAAAAGTTTAGCTACATATGCTGTTCAGTTTATAAGCAAAGCCTTTTCTGACGCCACAGAAAAATCAACAACCATTGGACAGTGTTTTTGTGTGCCAATTTATATTATTACACGTAGAATATGAGCGTTTATGCTTCTAACAGTTTTATGTATTTATCGTATGAGCCATAAATGCTTGAGAATAGCTAAGAAAATTTTCATTATTTTGCATTATACATTGACAACCATATTCATTTTTTATGCTTGAGTTGGAAATATTCTGCCACATTATTGTCTTAGGAAATGCTGTCATGAGCTTCAAGACCACCATAAAAGTGCACTTAATATGAACCATGCAGTTACTTATGGGAGTTTTGAAATGAAATGGCGAGATGGTGAGTACACACCACCGAGGAGTTCCGTACAAGGTCGAAATAGCCATCTCGTCTTCTCAGGTTTCTAATGGTTACCCAACTGATGTCAGTCAGTGATGAAACCACCTTGATATACTTCTAGATGAGATATCCAAAAGTTTGAATGACAAGTCGTGTTGGTTAGGCAAACCAAGTTGGATATGAAGACAGGTACTCAGTAGTGTGATAGAGTGAAGATCGAACTATACTGAGAGCTGACAGAAGTAAGAAAATGTAAACTTCTGCATTACGAACCAGTGGCTAAATGGCAACATGCTAGTCATGCAACCTGAAGATTCCTGTAAGCAGTTCATCCCCCAGAGATTAGATCCTATGAATAGACAGACGTAGTATAAAATACAGATCTTGATTCGTATATATTATCGATGTTTTTTTCAACGTTGGTAATAATTTTTGATGTAATGTTTATCTTCAGGTTCTTAAATCACTAATGAATGTTTCGTCTTTTTTATTTTATTTACTCACATCTTCTTAGATCTATCATAGAACCAATAAAAGCAAACTAGTGTTCCTTATAATGGCGTTGTCCTGCTTTTCTTGGCTTCAGTTTATCTCATATCTAGACCATATGCATATCATCATGATCTATTATGTCTCCAGTATAGATATGATATGATTCTTTTTCTTATTGTTATCAGTCAGATTGTATTGAGTACGAAGATACAAGAAAATATGATATATCCATTACGAGTAAGTCATTTTGAGGTTCTTATTTTTGTTATATGGTTGTTAGTATCATCATTTCAGGATCAAAATATTTTTATTTAACCTTAAGCTATACTCGTTTATCTTAGCTTCAGTGAAATCCTTCAGTAATCTGTTAGTGAGTACTCAACAATCTTAAATCTTTTGTAGTACATTCGAAACTTTAGTTTATTTGTCTACATTCAATACTGACGTTGAAAATGGGATATTCTGTTGGGAAGGTGGGTTGTAATACCAAACATTTTATAAACAAAACACATAGTCGAAGCTGACAATTCACATAAATTTCCTCCATAAGTTTCTCATAACCTACGATATGAACACCAGTCAGAGTCAATAGTTCAGATAGACTGTCTGAATACTGTTCGTCTAAAGCAATTACTCATCTCACTAACTAAATTTCTTTATCAATGTCAACAGTAACAGGTTACTGTTGTTATTCCCTAGAATACTTCAGTATAAAGATACTATTTACAGGGAGCTCTGGAAACGACCGAGACGATTTGTATTTTATCGTGAAGAAAACGATGATTCGGTGTTGTCTAACTTCGTAACGAATTTAGTGTTTGGAAATACTACGACACCCAGTGATGAAACTTCCTCAATCAATTATCTGAGACACAATACCATCATCAATTATTACAAAGTTTCAAAGTAAAAATAATCAGATCCGATCAATTACGTCCAAAATCTATATCAGTTGGATAGAGACAGTGTATATGTATACAAAACAAAATGAACATAAATAGAAATTATATGAAGAAAAGATGAGAATATTTTACTCGATCTACAACTGTCTTCAAAATGTACAGTCAATTTAGGTAAACAATCACATTGGCAATCACATTCATAATACGTTAAATAATAACATGCTCATCATCAATCAATTAGTTTGCTTTGAAAAACAGAAGTTGGTTGGTTACTTCATTTCTAATACTTTCTTCATCACACAGCAGTCGAGCTAATGTGATATCCTAGAGATTTTATATTTTGTAGTAGTTGCATAGAGTCTTATTTACTTGCTCCTCATCTTTCCATATGACTGATACGCAGGGAGGTATGAGTGTAGTGTATGTTGGTGATGTGATAAAGTAACTGCTGCCAGATGTTTACATGACTTAAAGTGTTTGTGGAGAACAGTGTTAACTAGAAGATTTGTGTGTACACCACTAGTTGTGTTGACAATGTTTGAAGTTCTATACAATATAACATAGTATTTTTTCAGTTATCCTGGTAAGAATGAAGGAGAATAATAGGGGAGAATAGGCAAGATGCAGGCGTTTATAAAATACAAGAGGAGAAGTTGAGTTATATCACATTCTGATAACTTCCTAGTACATTACATTAAGTTGAAATCAGTAAGATATGGAAGAACCAGGAAAGGTTGGAAGAAAAACACACACCAAGATAAATGACACTTGTAACATTCTTTTTATGCACAACTACTAATAGAACGGGAATCAAGAGAACAAAGCAGTTTACATAAGTTATGTTGACGTCTAAGACTAATGTTTGTGGTCCGACCTTTTGAAGAAGTGAGCATAAGGCCATTGAGAGAGGACCGTCCTCCATATAGATAATCATTCAGTTGTGAGTAATGTGCTAAAGTGGAGATAGGTATTGAAACTGTTAGTTCATCAGGATATTTAAGGTAATTGTTACCAGCTACGTGTGGTAAGTTATACAGAAAGAAAGAGAAGAGACAGGGATAGCTTTTTGTGGAACGCCAGTCACGTTAAGCAATGAGATGGAGTGCTTCCCTCTATGAACAGTATGTTGTTTCCTTCCAGAGAAATAGGAATGCAGCCAGTTGGTTATCCAGGACTCAGTATTTGTCCTTGTTATTTTGTTCAGCAAAAGAGATGTTGGGACAGAATGAAATGCCGAAGTGTAGTCGAAAATGGTATGCTTGAAATACTTGGCATTTTTCTCAGGACTATAATCAATATTGTGATCTAAGATAGTGGTATCATCCAAAGTGCTTCTCCTGCTTTTATATTCAGTTTCGTCAGAATCTCCAAAGGCCCTCAGTGAGGGCTACAGCACAGGTATTGTTAGATTCTCTATTATTTTTAAGAAAGGAGAGGTAACTTTAGTCGGATGGTATTTAGTACGTTCACTTAGAGTCTTAAACTTAGGTACGGCGACTATTGTGATCTCTTTTCAGGAAGTCAATTTGGTTGATGTGAATTGCATCCAATGAATTTCTCCAAGTTTCTGCATTTGAAATCAAAACGAGCGAAATGTCACACAAGTATCTTAAATTACAAATGATAAGTGAAGTAAATTCGAAGGATTATGTGTTTGTTGCGGGGGTAGTTTCTGTCAAATCATATGTGAACTGAAAAGTATTACATAATATTAAAGAGAATTATACATATGGGATACGTTTGATATACATGAATAGCTCACAGTCCTAGTGTGCGTTTGGTTAGCATATTACGCAACACAAAATAAGGTAGTATATAACAAAAGAGAAGCTAATGTGCATTAATAGTAGAGAATATTTGTAGCTCAGGTGGATAGTTTTGGTTGTATTGTGTTCTCTGAGCTGGATTGTTTAATCGTGAAGCTTCCATCGTCTTTCTAGACAACGACATCATCAGCACTAACTTCAGTATGAAGTGACCTGATCTTTCCATGAGTGATTTAGTAGTTTGCTCTGACGATGTGGTTTGTGATTGGTTGTCTCCTTTGTTTGTTGTGTCATTGATTGTATAGACTTTCCTGTTGGCTGTTTCTCTGCTTGACCTCTGACCCTACTGTCATTTATCATTTTTCTTAATGGTTAATAGATAGGGTCTATGTCTATACATGTGTTGAATGCTGACTTATCTGAATGCCAAGCTTCTAAGAATTCTCTGATTTTTTTGTTTCTCGCCTCTGTCCAAAATTTCTACATTGTGGAAATTGGATTCATGTTCATGAGTATCCACGTGCATTGAAATGATTGATAAAATTTCGTGGGTTTAACAGCCGATTGGTGTTTATGTAAATGACGAAGGTGAAGAGGGCGACCACTTTGTCCAGTATAGTGTTGACTGCAGTTATTGCAACTGATTTTGTAAATGATATTCGGTTTGTCTTCCTTGGTTGCTGCATCCTTTGGTCTGCATTAGTTGTAATAATTTTCAAGATGTTACCACAATGACCTTTCTAACATGACTAATAACATGAACTTTTTTAATGTTAGGGTAAATATAAGAAAAAATAAGCGTTAAATGCTAGATTTGAGTCTCAGAGGGAAAATCATTAGTCACTGGAGTGTAGATGCATCCAGCTGATGAGTCTCAAGTGAGAGGAAACGCATGTTCTTTGCTACCACTACCAAGTAAACGATTAAACATTAACTATCTAGACAGAATCAGGGAGTCTCATAACAGCTTCTCTGTCAATCGACAACGATAAATTCTATTCAGCATAACGAACAATTACAAGTGTCAGTAAATTACAAGAACTACTAAGTAGAAAGGTGTGAGTAGGGAGATAGTACTGGATTTAATGAGCATTGAGAAAGAGATGATACCACAGTTTTATTCTTCTGGAAATACAAGTGTGGCTCAAAAAAAATTGATTCGGTAATTTTAAGCTAAATGCAGTATTTGTGACTAGACTTTATGTGAGAATTGTGGTTAACCTGTTATTTGTTGGTTACTGAGGTTGTCAGTCACATTCATTGGTTTATAAGCTCCCGTGCAAATGCCTCGATATTGCCTGTCGTTTCGATTTTATCCCATTGCTGGATAGCGGCTAGTAGTGCAATCCAAGACTCACATTTCGTCTTATTTGGGACTTGTTGTTTGAATGTACCTACCGCCCAGTGAGTAATGTTTTCCTCACTAAGATGCGAACCCACCCAGTAACCCATACGCCAACAGAGACTAAATAATTCAATCTAATCAGCAATTAGTAATTACAAGCAATAACACACAAGTTATACCCGTTGAACAAGAGGTGGATCTCATACCCCAGTGTACCAAGTGGTTAGCGCTTTGAGGTGCAAAGCGATGGGTACTGTGTTCGAGTCTCAGTGGGGACAACATCACTCACTATGCAGCAGGTATATCAAACTCAATAATCTCAAATAGGAAGAGACTTACTTCCTAGATTTATCTGTTAGCTGCTATCCAACATTACCATAATTCGTTTCTGACGAGAATTTGTGACGAATTGATCAGCTCAGCCTCAATTCGGTTATACTTCTTTGTATCTTGACTTCCCACTTTGGGTTGGTCTCATTCCATCAATTTGGCTATCTACAGCTTTTCCCTCTAGACTTATATGGAACATGATTGAATTTTAAAATCGAATCCCGAGTGATCATTCTATATTTTTGAAATGCTTCATGTTTAGTTGAAGTTGCTCACTAGACGTTAGTTGATATTGAGGACCTTCATTCATTTATTATTATTTGTTCCTTAGGTTCCTAGTGGAACATAAGGCTTCAATAGCACATCACCATTTCACTCTCTTCTCTCCAGTCTTTACAGCCTGGCTCCACCACTGCGCACAACCTTTCATTTCTTCCTCACACAATCTCCTCCATGTCACACTCGCATCGGACGCATAAGTCGTATTTCCCATTCAGGTTCCACTCAACGGCCTGGCCTGACCTGATGCATGATGCATGATGACCTCAAACTGTCTTCTCACACTATGTCCAATCTAATCCCATCCATCTCCACTCTCTCATGCATATTTGTTGGGCAATAGGTTCTTGGTTGGTGCGTTTCCAGACAAAGTTCCTCATTGCTTATTACATTATTCTGGTCATCTGATTGTCATCATCAGTATCGAGTGAGCAAGCAAAGGCGGCAGGTGTTGATGCTGTGTGTTTGGAGTTTGTTGGAAATGCTTTTCGTAACTCGCTATCAAGTCTCTCAAGCATCACATGGAAACACTGACTCACTTGACTAACATTAGTGTTGAAAATGTGGATGTTGTTGACGCTTTATGCTGAGTGCAGTAGATCTCCACACAGATTTCAAATGAATGCAGGATGGCCTGTCTTGCTGTCTTTCTGATCCTGTTTTGACATCGTCATCTGTGCCTGTGGCGCCTGTAGTTGAAACGATGCTATCTTGCCTAAGTAGGTAAAAGAGACAACTTCCTTGAAATTCTTGCCACTGATAGTGATTGGTACTTGCTGTTGTTGGTTGGGTATCTTCATCACCTCTGTCTTCTCCATGTTCACCTGAAGGAAGTCCTGTCTTCCTTCACTGCCTCCTCTCACCATTTCTGCCAACTTATTAGTTTTCGCCTATGGATCTTCAAGTTTGTGTGACAAGTCATTTCACAACAATCATCATCATCAATGAAATCGAAATCCTCTTGTGTGGTCTTTTCATCGGTGAAGCCACCGTATTCCCCTCTTCTTGCTGTTCACAGTTGTCTGTTGCATGATCCAGAGAGAGGAATAACAAAAAGGATTCGAAGATCATTGAGCTTTTATGCGAAAAGAAAATGGTAGGATGAAGCGAAATTGAAACTTGCAATAAAGTCTGCGATGACCAAAATGCTTAGATGTATCTGTACTCCTGCAGTCACTTTCGATGTGTACTATGTGCATTTTCCAAAAATTGGTTTTAGGTATCTCATGGACCTTAACCTGGAAGCTTACAAATCTCTGCAGGGTTCATTTTGACTGCATTTACCTTCTTTTTTACTTGGATATGATCCAGCCAAATTCGCAAATTGATACGGATTGTAATTAGGGCTGCTTACTTCTTATTATTGCTACTTAGTTCGATGAAGATTCGTAGTCTAACCAAAAATTATGCCCAACCACTATACTTTTCAAACCGTGATTTAAAGAATCATATGCAGATTTACGAAATTTACGTTGGCAGAAAAAGTGAAGCCTGCTGATAACTTCCACACTGTGGGACAAAGATTCATAGGAATATGGTAGGGAGATAGTGAACTGTTTTATGCTCAGCCCTCAGTGGATAAGAGAAGACGTAGCATGAAATATGGGTAATCTAAGTTTATTAGTTTATTGAAAGCTATCTGCCATAAGCCCTGGTTTCGTGCTTCTTGCCACTCGTCAGCATAGTGTGTCTACTGCCTTGATGGAATTAATATCCAACCTATAATTCAAACATATATTACCTAGTGTTTCAGTCAACGACGTTGCAGCTGGGCTCTTCGGGGCAGAATAGACCTCTGAAGGGTCAGAGTACATACGTTGATTGGTCACTGAAAAACAACTTATTTGATGTAATCTAGTCATGAGTTCTGACTGAATTATATGTTTACGAATGCCAACAGCCTTTTTTGTGTACAACTGGAGATTTCGTCAACCACCAACTCAAATCAATTTTACGATTTTATTAGTATGTGGAAATGCAAGAGTATCGACTTTCAAGTCAACCAAATAATGTATTCATACACTGAGAGCTCCATAACTTGACTTAATGCATGATTAGAAGAGACCTGGAATGTCAGTCCGCCAACCTGAATCGTTTCATTATGCTGTAGAAAAAGTAAATGATTCAGAATTATAAACAGACAAATTCAGAAAACATTTGCAGCCAACCAAATAAAGTTCTCATGATGTTTATAAGTAAATTCAATGATGACAAAAGTGTATAAGGTCACTTGAAAATTTTTGAGTTATCATAAGTTTAGACCATTGTGTCCTACTTTTATACGACATACAGACAATAGTACCACTATGCTCCTTGGACTCTCACCATAAATACGCTATTTACATATGATGGTAACTACCTTTAATCTTACCTCAATTCAACTGACGTTTTCCAACATCATAAAAACTCAAAGAACAATCATTCTAGCTAACATAGCTTATTCAGTCATTACTACCTGTATGTTAAGGTAGCAGAAGGTGGTCACGGTTGATGTGGTTGATTCTTTTTAATCTATTTCTGGGTATAAATAACTTTCTTACAGATAATATTCCCTATGTTGACTTCATCAGTTTTTGGAATATGTCTTTCTCAAGGGTTCAGAGTAAGTCTTTAGTGGCTACTGAGACATTCTCTCGGTATAGCATATTTCTGCATAACATTATCAGTATTATTCAAACCTTTTGTATTGTTTGATCAAGAAGAAATCTGAAAAATGTCTGTAATAATTAGGTTTCAATATTCGAGATAAATTTCACTCATCTATCTTCATTTTCTTCTTTGCATAATGAGATTATATCCTCCAGAATAGTTGTATCAAACAGATTTTATGGAAAACACTTTACTATTGTTCCAGTGAAGGCTTTCAAATGTTTAATTGGCACGAGTTTCATCCAAATGATGAAAGATTAACTGATTGATCAGTTCCTCCTTTTTAATCTGTGAAGATGATCTTAATCAAGGAAACATTAAACGTGCAGTCACTATCTTCAACTTTACTATTCAGCATAGTTCTGCATCTTAGTTATAAAGCCAATCTTTAAACATTTCTGGATATGGTTCAGAATGATCGATGTACAAGTCAACTAATCAGCAGATTTATTCTGTAACGTAAAGAGTGAAAACACTTTTCATAAGTTTCGCTTTTGGAAGAGGATATATCTTGGAGCTTTATCTGATATTTCTAAGTTCTGCATTTAACTTAACGCACCGTTTGTTTTTGTCCAACGATCTCCTCAACTGATAACTTAGGTTTCATCCACCGCTAACCTGCTTTTATTCAATAGCGTAATGAGAAATTGTGTATTGATTACTTTTCCAGCTGTTATTGTTGTTTTTCTCTTGGGTTCCTAGTCGAAGATAGGGCTTCACTAGCACGCCTCCATTCCACTCTCTTCTCTCCAGTCTTTTCAACATCGCTCCACAACTGACCACAAGCTTTCATTTATCCTCACATCATCTCTTCCACGTCAACCTCAGTTGGGACGCCCAACTCATTCTTTCCCCTTTGGATTCCACTTGAGGGGTTGGCATGTCTCATGATGCTCTCAATCGACCTTCTCAGTGTATGTCCAATCTACCTCCACCGTTTTCTGCATATTTCTTGGGTAACAGGCTCTCCGTTGGTTTGTTGCCAGTCAGCCAGAGTTTCTTGTTGCTAATTCTTTCTGGCCATCTGGGCTTCAGTAACGAGCGTAGGCGGTTGTTAATGAATGTCTGTTGTTTATTGGAATTGCTTTTCGTGACGTGCCATATCTCTCAACGAAATAGGAGCACTGACTTGACATTGGTGCTGAAAATCCGGATGTTGTTCACACTTTATGCTGAGTTCAGTAGATCTCCACACTGATTTCAAATGAATGCAGGAAGGCCTGTCTTGCTCTCTTTCTGATCCTGATTTTGACATCCTCCTCTGTGCCACCACCTATAGTTGAAACGATGCTGCCTAGGTAGGTCTTGCAGCTGTTAGGTACCCTAAAATAACATCACCTCTGAGAGGCAGGCATCAAGAGGTGAGAAAGATCATTCGTGTATTATAAAGCAAAGCGTTACACTTCATTAAATTAAACAGTATATAACTGACACGTTTTTAATTCCATCTATTTTCCTTTCAATTTTTTTAAAATGCTTAGACAAATGAGCAGAGATCTAAGAACTCAGTAAATGTGGAGAAGAATATCATTGAAATGTCTGAAGCGTGTTTAAAATCAAGGCAAATGTATGCAAGTTGCAGTAAGTTGAATATTTGTTTAAAAAAATGATCTAGTGAACCTTTACAGGCTTACTGTTAACTGTTTCTTAATTGAAGCGTTGGCTGATTCTATTAAGAGGGACATCAGTAAACAGTGACAGCAGTCATAAGTCACTACTAACAATCAGTAGGTTTCATTAAAGTGTTGATTATTTCTGGTGTTAAACAATTGATTCTTAGAATATGACTAAAAGAACAAAACTGACTAACTTAATAGCGCCTTATTCGTTGGTTATTTGTGGTTTTAGTTCAAAGGAATAATTTGAAAGATACACTATTGTTCAATTGTTTCTTTGTTTATTGTCTTATGGTCTCGCTGTCAGTATAACAGAATTGCTTTGACTTATAACTTCAGTCTTGTAGTTTCCACTTTGTCCCTTAGTGTTTATTATCATTGGTTTATTTCATGTAGAGGAAGTAATGATGGCATTCTCTTAAACCTATGACAGTATTAGCTAATGACCGATAAACTGTTCAGTGAGTATTGTTCTTTCGAGTGTAGAGTATTATCGAATTTTACGCTTGATTAGCCAACATACAGCTTAAAACTATTATTGCACTCTCAGTTAGCCTATTTCAAAACAGTTACTACCTTATTATTTTCAGTTCCATAAAGTTATTCATTGAAAGACGAGTTTTCTTCCAACTGTAATTTACTACTGCACTCAGCACAAAGAACAACATCCGGATTTTGAACGCCAATGTCAAGCCAGTACTGCTATATGGTTCAAAAAGTTGGCACGTCACGTAAAGCACTTCCAACAAACTACAAACATTAATCAACAGCTGCCGCCTACGCTTAATCTATACTGAAGATCGGATGACCAGAATAGTTAGAATAAGCAACAAGAAATATGATTGGTAACCAACCGACCAACAACCTTTCACCCAACAAATATGCAGCAGAAGGAAGTGGATATGGATCGGACATACACTGAGAAGGTCGATTGAGATCATCATGCGACATGCCAACCCCTCAAGTGGAATCCAAAGGGGAAAGAATGAGTTGGGCGTCCCAACTGAGGTTGACACGGAAGAGATGATGTGAGGAATAAGTGAAAGCTTGTGGTCAGGAGCGATGTTGAAAAGACTGGAGATAAGAGAGTGAAATGGAGGCGTGCTAGTGAAGCCCTATGTCCGACTAGCAACCCAAGACAAAAAGAAGAAGAATCTATATAAAAACTACCTTGAAACTACTCAGTCCCACAAACCTTCAAACTGGATTAGTGACATATTTTGAGATAGATTTCCCAAAGTCTCACTAAGAATCATGATCCGCTGGATCACTAAGTTCATGTGTGAGGTAAAATACTTGCCAATAGTGTTTTACGTTGGTGGCGATATTCTGTGAGCTGAGAGGACAAATAATATGTGGTCCGTTTATATTTTGATCATTAATTCAAAGTTTAAATGTTCGCCATGAGACGTATTTGTTGACGGCTTGATCTTGAGAGTCCCACAGTTCTGTGATGCTGAGGAGTCCTTTATCAAAGTACTGTCCACTGTAGCCATATTTACGCCGTTTCTTCAAATGATGTCAGCTCGCGATATACAACACCTTGAAACCAATAAATCCCCACAAGCTTCTGAGCTGAATATTCATAAACGGTATCCAACACATCATTCACAATTGGTGCTGTAAATCTGGATTGTATAGACAGATGAACAATTTCAGAGAAGTGACCCAGACCTCCGAAAGATGAAGAATGAGCTACAGTGTAGGCACTCGAATTGTAGTTATTTATTTGTCCTTTGGATTCCTAGTGGAACATACGGCTTCAGTAGCACGTGACCATTTCACTCTGTCCTCTCTAGTCTTTTCAAACTGGCTCCAAGAATGCCCACAACCTTCATTTCTTCCATAAAACCATCTCCTGCATATCACCCTCGGAGGCTCAAGTCGTCGTTCCCCACTTAAGTTCCATTCGGCGCCTGGCCTAGTGCGTGATGTCCTCAAATGGTATTCTCGATGTATGCCCAATCTATCTCCACTTTCTTCTGCATAGTTTTTAGGCGATGGATTTTTGGTTGGTTCATTGTCAGCCAGAGTTCTTTGTTCCTAATTGTGACATTTTATATACGCGCTAAAACTGTTTGTTGATATACTTGCAAGTCTCCGTTATTATACTGAGTCGAACTGTTCGGCCTATGTTGGCAAATGGGCTACTATACGAATCCCTCTATATTGCCTGCATATTTGTTGTGATTATTATGTGGCTGGCAGAAGGATCCAGGGTGCGCCTTCTGTCATGTTACCACAATAAATATTCAGGCAATATCGAGGGATTCGTAAAGGAGCTCATAAGCCAACAGAGGTGGAACATTTTGATTGAGTATAACAACAAACAATTAGAAGTATATCAACAAATGGTAATACCTAAAACCGGTTGTACAAGAGATAGCTATTCTGCCGCAGTGGCCTAAAGGCAAACGCTTTGGCGTTCAGAGTTGTGCGTACGAAGTTTGAGCCCCAGTGGGAATAAAAACACTCACTGGAGTGCAGGTATATCCAGTTGATGGGTCCTAAATAGGCGGACACGCGCCTTCTGGATTCCTCCGCTAGCCACACCCAAGTAAGTTGCTTTAGGTGTTAAAGTTAGGCATACAAATTGTGGAGAATACTTGTGGCTCAGGGATGTTTTGGCAGTTATTCGCTGTCTGACCACAAGTTTCGGTTTGCAAACGCTTCACTGTCATACCGGAGAAATTAGAAATAAGTGGCTACATCAAGCTATAGGTACCACACGAGAGTTTTCGAAACAAATCTAGAGTAAACTAATCCAAATGCAAGGAAACCCTTACTATACCAAAAAGGAGATTATTATTCAATTAGATAAAGATGGCATACATATAGTTAATTAAAATAGTGCACTTAACTGATCAGCACAAAATGAATGCTCATCTTGAGCAAAGTTCAACCAGCCGGAAGTAGTATATTATCCTTTCAGTTGAAGTAAACCCGACAGTCGTCACTTTAGTCAAACAAAAAAGATCAGCCAGTTGTAACAAAGCGACCTTGGCATACTACAAGAAAAAGAAAGAAGTTGATTCATACATGCTAACACAACCCTCCGAGAAAATCATAGGCGAGAATCCAAACAGTTTGATACACCCCACAACCTCACATGCACCGACTGACCAATAATTTTAGATTTTGGTAAAGTAGCAATTTATAAATACTGGTCTACAACCATTATGAAGCTTAAGTGTATTGATGAGGATGTGTTGAATGACAGTTAAATGTTTACCAGTTTAAAATCTAATTCACAGAACAACTCACATTAGAACAAAAGTAAGTGCTAAGTGGACTACTACTATTAATATTTACTGGTTACAGTAGTTCACTGTCAATTGAGCGCAAAGTATTGCTGCAGCAGATTACACTGACGTTCTACAAAGTTGTCTGACGTATGCTGCGTCACAGAATTAATCCTACATTTCCATAAAAGGGATTTAAATCGGTATCCCTTAATAAGACGGTAACATCATCCATGATATTCCTAATTCTGGTGGACTGGTCTGGATCATGCAACAGACAACTATGAGGAGCAAGAAGAGGGGAGATTCGCTGGATCGCGGAAAAGAACCTAGAAGATTTGGATTTCGTCGATGACTTCTGTCTAATGCCATTCCACACAAACTTGAAGATCTACAGTGAAAACTAACAAGTTCACAGAAGAGGCGAGGCTGAGCAATGAAGATGGGAATTCAAGTGAATATAGAGGAGACAGAGGTGATGCTGATACCCGACCAACGACACCACCACCACCACCACCAACAACAAACACCAATCACCATCAATGGGAGAAAATTAAAGGAAGTAACCTCTCCCACCTACCTAGTCAAGGCAGCACTGTTTCAACTACAAGTGACACAGGCACAGACGAGGACGTCACAGCCAGACAGGATTGGAAGAGCAGCAAGACAGGCGTTGATCAGCCTGAAACCAGTGTGGAGATCTACTACACTGCACTCAGCATAAAGCCTGAACAACATCCGGATTTTCAACACCAACGTCAGTCAAGTCAGTGCTTCCATGTGATGGTTGAGAGACTTGGCAGCACGTTAGGAAAGGGATTTCCAACAAACTACAGATATTCATCAACAACTGCCATCTACACTGGCTCGTTACTGAGGATAGGATGGCCAGAATAGTTAGAATAAGTGGCAATGAACTCTGACTGAGAACGAACCAACGAAACAAGAACGTTTTCGCTCAACAAATATGCACTGGAATGAAGTGGAGATGGATGAGAGTGAGCATACACTGAGGATGTCGACTGGGGACATCAGTCGTCAGGCGAGGCAAGGCGGTCGAGTGGAACCCCGATGTGTAGGCTACGAGTTGGTTGTGTGAGGTGAGGGTGACATGGGGAGTGTGGTGTGAGGAAGAAATGAGAGTTAGTGGGTAGTTGTGGATTGAGGTTCAAAAGATTTCATAGAAGAGAGTGTAATGGAGACGTGCTAGTGAAGCGGTATGTTCAACTAGGAACCCAAGGGACAAAGAATTAATATAATAATATCTATTTAGGTCATTTGCGTACAGTGTATTCTGAAACACGGTGTTAACTGAGACAGAATCAAGGTGCAAAATTGTTAAAGATTACCGTTAATCTTTGAAAACACTAAAAGCTAGCTAAATATGCATAAGAAAGACAAAAAGACTTTTCTGATATACTCCAGATGTAAGAATCAACTGACAATATCGATGTATAAACATGATATCGTCATCCTATTCAAATTCTAGATATTTTAATGGTCATCACTTCGTTTCTCCTTCACTTCATAATCATTTTACTGGTACCACTACCTTTTTACTTTTGGGGACTTTCTTCTAACTTTCTATTAAAACCTTTGATGCGTAGTGACAAACGACTTTTAATTCAAGGCAGCATTCTTGAACACTTTGGCGGAAAATCGCTTTATTTTAGATTATGAAGGGGTGAGAAATAACTATATCTCAAGTGGATGATTAATGTTGTATAGCATTATCTAAGCTGAATGGTTTAATTGTGAATATTTCTTTGTCTTGCAGGAAAAAATCATTTACACTATCTTCAATATGAAGTGATTTATCAGAATTTCTCGTTGATTGACTCAGTAAGTGGCCATGAGGAAGTGGTCTACTTTGGTTCATCCGTCACTAACTGTACATATTTTCTCATAGGTTTTTCACCTACCTGACCCTCTGACCTCATGGTTGTTATTTCTTCATATTATTAGCCGACAAATTACGTCTATATCAGTAGATATATTGGTTGCTGATTGATCTTAATGCCAAGCCCATAGGAGTTATATAATGTTCTTTATGTTTCCTATCAAAGATCTTTGGATTTTTAAAATCCAACTCATTTCTGTAATTGTTCACGAGAGCTTATTCAAGAAAAATAATGTTACAACGTTTGATTGCCAACTGAAGTTTATATTTATGTTCGTCAATACAGTTTACTAGATGTTTCTTGTAGAAATACTGATAACTCACTGCATAAAAAAGTTAATCTTAATAATATTGCCTTGAAAGACAATAAAAACTTCACCAATAAACCATCCAGCTAGAAAAATGTAATAAAATCAGGATATTTTGTAGTATTTCAGTTAATTTAACGTATTTTGATAATCTGATATTTATAGGATGAGATTACGAACAAAACTTATTGGTCTCAGTAATCCTACAGTACTCAAAAATACCTTATTTTGTAATATGGCCTCTAAGCTAGAAGATTCGCCATCAAAATGATGGGTAAAATTCAGTCAGCACTAAGTATTAGAAAATATGAAGTTGGTTACTGTTCAGCGACTAAAGCAATATATTAACTTCACTTCTGTAAGAGGTCAGCGGTGGCTTGAATAGCTCATATGGAATACTGGTTGACATAAGTTTGAGTCTAAGAAGGGACGTCGGTCCGGTTGGGGCTACAAGTACACCTTTCTGAAGAATGACTGCAAACACGAAAACTAGATGAAGTAAATGTTCTTGAAAATTTCAAATATCCCACTAACGTTCACCCATTAATAATTTCATATTTGAGTGAAAGATTATAAACACTGAGCTGTATTATTATTATTATTTGTCACTTGGGTTCCTAGTTGAACATACCGCTTCACTAGCACGTCTCCATTACACTCTCTTCTATGAAATCTTTTGAACCTCAATCCACAACTACCCACTAACTCTCATTTCTTCCTCACACCACACTCCCCACGTCAACCTCACCTCACACAACCAACTCGTAGCCTACACATCGGGGTTCCACTCGACCGCCTTGCCTCGCCTGACGACTGATGTCCCCAGTCGACATCCTCAGTGTATGCTCACTCTCATCCATCTCCACTTCATTCCAGTGCATATTTGTTGAGCGAAAACGTTCTCGTTTCGTTGGTTCGTTCTCAGTCAGAGTTCATTGCCACTTATTCTAACTATTCTGGCCATCCTATCCTCAGTAACGAGCCAGTGTAGATGGCAGTTGTTGATGAATATCTGTAGTTTGTTGGAAATCCCTTTCCTAACGTGCTGCCAAGTCTCTCAACCATCACATGGAAGCACTGACTTGACTGACGTTGGTGTTGAAAATCCGGATGTTGTTCAGGCTTTATGCTGAGTGCAGTGTAGTAGATCTCCACACTGGTTTCAGGCTGATCAACGCCTGTCTTGCTGCTCTTCCAATCCTGTCTGGCTGTGACGTCCTCGTCTGTGCCTGTGTCACTTGTAGTTGAAACAGTGCTGCCTTGACTAGGTAGGTGGGAGAGGTTACTTCCTTTAATTTTCTCCCATTGATGGTGATTGGTGTTTGTTGTTGTTGTTGGTGGTGGTGGTGTCGTTGGTCGGGTATCAGCATCACCTCTGTCTCCTCTATATTCACTTGAATTCCCATCTTCACTGCTCAGCCTCGCCTCTCCTGTGATCTTGTTAGTTTTCACTTGTAGATGTTCAAGTTTGTGTGGACTGACATTTGACAGAAGTCATCGGCGAAATCCAAGTCTTCTATGAATACTGAACTTTAGTAGTCACTTATGATTTGTATTATTGTTTTGTTTATTTTCTAGAGCATATTGCTCATTTTCAGTTGGCTCTACTCCGTGATACTTATTTCTATGTGAATTTCAGACGGTAACTTCACCATTCGTCAGCAAGGAGACCCAGAAGAAGGACAGAAATCAACTGGATTGCATTTGCGTAGGTCAACACAAAATCATATTGCCAGTTCAAATTCACTGCAGCCAAGTAAAACAGCTCAAGCTAAGATATCTGAACTAAACTGTATAACATTTAAGGAGTCTGACTGTTACCTACATAACCCAGCTCTCCATCTTTATGATAAATTTAACCTACAGTTCTCATTTCAAACATCACAAGAATATGGTCTATTACTGTTCAATTCAAATAAACAAGGTGTTGACTTTTTAGCATTTGAATTAATAGGAAGTTACCTGCACTTTTCATTCGACATGGGAAGTGGTATTCAACGTTATGCTTTGACTACACATGCTGTTACTGATTCTAAATGGCATCATGTGGAATTAACAAGGTTAGTTATCTCTCAACTGTTCTTTCATTTCAAGTGCATCCGTATTAAAATTTTGCATGTTTTGAAAAAAGTATTACAAGATAAATTGACTACTTTTTTACAAGAGTTACTGACATTTGGAGAATAAAATGAGCTCATTTTATTTTATGGCTTTTCATCAGCTGCAAACAGCGTACAACTGAAATGAAGTATTAGTAGTAATAATAACATGGCATAGTTTAAACACGCAGAAATAAATGAAGATTTGAAATCCAGGATTAACAATAAGGTAACAAGTCAAGGAAACACAGGATTAATAGTTACATATCTAAGTCAAAATCGATGGCTATTTATATTTGATGAGATAGAAAATTCTGTAGCCGGGGAGTGGAGAGTGGAGACAAGAAACGAAAATCAGTGTAAAGAGATGAACTGTTAAAGGGTCAATAGGTTGCTTAAATACGTGAAAAACTTGAGAATCGTTAGGTGATTAATATTCAATAGGTAATTAATAAGATGATAAAATCAAAATACAAGGGAACACTATATACATACACAGGGAAGCTCAGTGGTGCTTTTGAAGTGAAGACAGGAGTAAAACAAGGCTGTTTACAGACACCCATGATATTCCTGATCGTCGTCACCTGAACTAGATCATGCAACAGACAACTATGAGGAGCAAGAAGAGAGGAGATTCGCTGGATCGCGGAAAAGAACCTAGAAGATTTGGATTTCGTCGATGACTTCTGTCAAATGTCAGTCCACACAAACTTGAACATCTACAGGTGAAAACTAACAAGATCACAGGAGAGGCGAGGCTGAGCAGTGAAGATGGGAATTCAAGTGAATATAGAGGAGACAGAGGTGATGCTGATACCCGACCAACGACACCACCACCACCACAACAACAACAACAAACACCAATCACCATCAATGGGAGAAAATTAAAGGAAGTAACCTCTCCCACCTACCTAGTCAAGGCAGCACTGTTTCAACTACAAGTGACACAGGCACAGACGAGGACGTCACAGCCAGACAGGATTGGAAGAGCAGCAAGACAGGCGTTGATCAGCCTGAAACCAGTGTGGAGATCTACTACACTGCACTCAGCATAAAGCCTGAACAACATCCGGATTTTCAACACCAACGTCAGTCAAGTCAGTGCTTCCATGTGATGGTTGAGAGACTTGGCAGCACGTTAGGAAAGGGATTTCCAACAAACTACAGATATTCATCAACAACTGCCATCTACACTGGCTCGTTACTGAGGATAGGATGGCCAGAATAGTTAGAATAATTGACAATGAACTCTGACTGAGAACGAACCAACGAAGCGAGAACGTTTTCGCTCAACAAATATGCACTGGAATGAAGTGGAGATGGATGAGAGTGAGCATACACTGAGGATGTCGACTGGGGACATCAGTCGTCAGGCGAGGCAAGGCGGTCGAGTGGAACCCCGATGTGTAGGCTACGAGTTGGTTGTGTGAGGTGAGGTTGACGTGGGGAGTGTGGTGTGAGGAAGAAATGAGAGTTAGTGGGTAGTTGTGGATTGAGGTTCAAAAGATTTCATAGAAGAGTGTATAATGGAGACGTGCTAGTGAAGCGGTATGTTCAACTAGGAACCCAAGGGACAAATAGTAATTATAATAATAATATGCATACTCATACATAAATGTTATATATTTTCGAAGGTAAAGAAAGTTTGATTACCATCTCTTTCTGAGTGCATAGATCGGGTTGAAAATGTTTGATAGCGACAGGTGTTGCTAACCGCGTACAACACGTTGTTCTTTGTTTTTAACTATGCTGAACGATCAAGAAAGACATGTTTGATATCCTGTTTCCATGAGATAACTGACGGTTGTATTTTTAAAGACCTTACTACCATTCAGATACATATTTCTCGAACGATGCTCATAAAATCGAGTAGACGCCCTTCTTTCTGTCCGTCCTATGTATTTGCTTTCACAAGCATAGGTGAATTGATATAGAGTTGGAGGTTATGTGAGATTAGTATTTGTCTATTTTCGATTGTGTTATTGAGCATAATATAGTATAAACTGAGATCAGTCTGGCAGCAAGGAAGCTCCTCTTCAGTGGAGTTTTTGTTCTTCTATCGATTCTTTCAGATGTCTCATCATCTGTAAATGCGAGACGAAGGAAAACAGGTTTATTCTCAACATTTAGATGTTTTGGTTTCTCAATAAATTCTTTTCCATGCTTCATGATGAATTTCTTCGGATATTTATTTTCTATAACAGCCTTCCCAACGATGCCGAATTCTTCTCCCTGTTTATTTTTAGGGCACAGCCTTTTTATTGTAGTGAATAGCGTGTTGACTAAACCACTCTTATAGGTGACAGAACAGAAGCTATTGTAGTGAAGGTACTGAACAACTCATGTGTTTTTTCTCTGGATAGTTTTCTCAACTGTACCATGAGATCTCCATCTTATACTTAGGTCCAAAAATTAAATCTGTCCTCATTTTCATATTCCATTGCAAAATTATTAGTTGGATGAGATTAGTTGAAGTTGTCAAACAGCTTTGACTCACAGTTCATATTATCACAAACGATGAAAGTATCATCGACATACTGCAGTAATGTATCTTTTCCTTGGTCGTAGAGTTCAGACTTGTTCGCTTGAGATGAGACATGAATATATCAGCTAGGATAAGTCCTAGTGGTGGACGCATAGCTACTCCATCAGTTTGCCAGTAAAGTTGATCATTATCATTCTGCATATGTCTTTGTTCTTGTATTGTTTAAATTTGTCAACGGAGGTAAATTTATGACATTTTGAAATTTTTTTAGTTATCTCGTAGTGATAATGAAAAGATTTCACTTCAGAAATAGCTGTCAAGATGAAATAGTTTCCGAAGACATTTTTGAAAACTCACTCAAAGATGACATTGAGTGATGGTCACGCTATATCATGAGTCTACAGACGTTGGAAATATGGACCACTGGATTCCAACCCATTGGCTCAGTGGTAACGTGCTAACCACAGAACCTGAAGGTTCTGCGTTCGAGCCCTGAGTGCACAATGCTGAGGAGTCTCATGCTAAGACGAAACGGCTATCCAGTGATTCCATGATTCTCATTTTCCCCTAAGTGATGTCGGGCCATGATGAATGCCAAATTTAAATCAGTAGATCCCTAAAAAACCACAAATTGAACTCATTGCTAAAGAAATGTTATAGTTCGGTTTTTGGCTTCAGCTACAGGTAAGACTGTGTGAACTAAACCAATTAATCATCTTCTCCTTGATCCTAAAAAACGGGAATTAACACAAATTGATGATCGGCAAAACCTAGAAAGATCAATGAATTCTATGGAGCCTTTAATTTCACTGTAAAGAATTCTTATTTCTAAATTTGTGCGTTACTACTGATTAACTGGCTTAGAATCAAATTCTCAGCTGCTAAAATATCTTAAATGGGAGGGTCTGGAAGCATGAAATGAAACAAATGTCTTATGTTGTCTCTGTTAGCTTACGTTATGCACGAATGGTCAAAACGTCCTCGATTTCAGCAACACTACCGTAAGCAAGTGCTAAATGCACTCCTCAGACGTATTATTAAGATAATATAGCACATGATGTTTTCATCGTTTGGCTAAAATGATCTTTAAAATAATTAGTTCCCTTTATAAACTTCTACAAAACAATAAGACTTAAGTTTTCTGAACCGTTTAATGTGTTTCAGCAACTCATTTCAAACTATCCCATCATATACGTACTTCTCATACGTACTTATATGAAAGGTCATGAAGAGATAAAATTAAAAGAAGTCATGTAGGAAGGCTGAATTAAAGGTCGAATAACAATGAAAATCCTTAGAGCAAAAATAATAGTACATCAGACATAACGCTATTAGAAGACGAAGATTATCTGAAAAATATGATGCATTTGCGCAGTACATTTCGAACAATCTGATCACACATTTACTTGTCAAGTCAATTTATATATGAAAATTAGAGGCCAAATATATGATGAATATGAAAAGGTTGTGAAACTAGTCTTGGTAATATAATCAGATAAGAATTATAGGGTAAACTAAGTGAAACAACAAATTGTTTTTGTACGCACAGCAGGAGCTTAAGTTTACGAATGGCTAACGCTTCGGCAAACTTCAGTATGCGCCCCCTGATTATTCCCGTATAATATCTTGAAGGCTGTTTTCGTATTAACCTTGTAATTCATTTCAATGAAGATGTTTTGCCATACACGACGATGGATGTCTGTCACCTGCACTTACCAATGTTTGTGTTTGAATTGCTTTCAAGCCATTTGGGTATGTGTTCACCCACTCTAGTCTCCACTTAACGATTACTCCTCCCTATGTATGTATGCCCACACATACATGTAAATTGGTAAACACATTTTTCAGATAATCTTCGTCTTCTAATAGCGTTATCGAAATTTATTAAGGGAACTAATTGTTTCAAATAGTTTTCGTAGCTGAATCCACCAAAGCAGGTTTAATATGAACATACAAAGGTGGTTCAAACATCCTGATAGATAAGGCCTCAACAAATGTAATGATCCGTCCCCATCACATTTTGTAAATGGGTGTAAAGAAAGCAGCCACATCATCCTGTGGCCTGTCTCAACGATATGTTTCGCGATAGAAGAACTCGGATGTCGTCTGAGACCAATATTCATCAGTTCAGGTGATTTAATTTGCTTCTGAAACCATTTTCTTCGGAATATGTTCCGAGGTTTTACTTACATGGATCTCCGAGTCCTCCTTGTATATGTGTCACTACACGTACGTTTGAACTGGTAGGTACAGTGGGATGTGACATTGTCGTTCACATGATGTGGGTGTTTGAGAGAATATAATGGGTTGGTGGTTTTATGGTGGAATCCTGGTTGAGCAGTAATCCTTCTAACAGTGGCGTTGTGTCTCTGTTTAAGGATTGCACAATGAGTGTGACTTTGTACGGAAGAGTGATAAAGACATCTTTGTTGGGGACAGACTGAAGATTTGGTCTAGGCCATCAGAAACACAAGGTATTCTTGATGTGTCTACTTCTTGTCGAAGTTGTAGAGTTACCTGATATGGATAATGACAATAAATTGTATCCGAAACCTCATGCAGTAAATGATACTTTTCACTGTGTAATATTTCTAATAAACAGACTAAAATGGAATTATAATCGACCACAGTGCCCAAGTTCTACTCCTATATTAAGATCTTAGTTGCTAGGATTACTGGTTGAAATGGAACATCTCCAACTGACTGTTTCAAGTAGTATCATATTCCGCGCAGCAACTTTGCCAACTTTTTCGACAGTATTCTTCGTATTGAAGATATTTTTTTGAGTGGTGAACCCTGAATTCAAAATAAAGGTACGATTCACATACCCAGTCATATCGAAACTAAGAACTTCTCACTAGATTTCTTTCCATCACTTATTTTAAAATGAATAAAGTTCCTAACTTTACGTGTTACATTGAATTAGTAAATGTCTAATGATAACCAGGTCTGCTAGCACAAAATTGTTGAATAAGATGTTAACTTGATTTTCGGTCTTGTTTCAGTTAGTACTAGTTCATGTAACCTCTCTCTGAATGGGTAATAATTCTTGGGGTTTGTTCCTAAATTTTTCACCACAAGGTTAGGTGACCTCATCAGCATTTAGTACGTAAATTATAATTCTCACTTTGGGTTACTAAACTTCTCTAGTATCTCAGCGTCTTTTACATGCTTTCACAATAGCAGTGTACTTATAAAGAAACATAAACCTTTTTATTTACATCATTCGTCTTATTGAGTTCAACATATTACAAGAACGGAAGAACATAATGTGTCAGGTTCCATAATTTTAACCGTTTTAAAAAAATCTTAGTCACAGTATTGGAGTATAATTCTATGTTATTTTTTATGCCGAATGCTTCACAAAGTGAAACAGTATACTGGCTAATCACTACAGGCTAACCAAATGCATGTTGTCTAGTCCTAACGGGTGATCGAATTCTATCAATCATTTTTGCAATGTTGTCATCAAGGTAAGAGACTCACTAACCGTCAGCACTGATTGACATGTCCATTTTAACGGAGGCAGAACTTCCTGTCAATTGACTACATCTGAATAAAATAATTAAACATCAATCATAGTCATATAGAGGCCAGTTGCACAGTGTTCGAAGTCTTCATTCTTTTACTTTTGTGGTATGAATAGCAAACGCTTTTCAGACATATTGTAACAGATAGTGACTTGTTCTTGATGTACACACTTCATATGGATTCAATAAGTAAAGTTTCAGTTGAAAACGTCTTCTGTTAAATGACACATATTTTCTTCAGAATGTTATGCACTAGGAATACTGTTCAACAGACAAATTGACGTATTTCTTTCATGTAGTTTTTTAATTGCCAGTTAATAACTTAAACAATACATACAAGGTTAATTATTAAAGTTGTCAAAATTATACAATTATGATTTGGTTAACATTTATTTCCATTAGAACGGATCTTGAAAATAATACTCTCTATTTGTATGTTGATCAAAAGAGAAGTACAGAACAATTCATGAAGATACCAGTTGTTAATGGTGAAAATGTAAAAAATTTCAATGTAAATGATCCACTTTTTATTGGAGGTATATCACAACATATTTTCTTAAAATGGAGAGAAAAACTAAGCTCATATCATGGATTTCAGGTAATTATACTTTCATAGTACTTATTACTTTTTAATGGTTTTTAGACAATTAGTGTTGTCAGTATCCTCATAACTTTGATAAATTTCAATCACCACTCAATACCAATACCAGTTTGCTAAACTAAAGCTAACCTAGATGGTCAAAATGACAATTAGTGTGACGCTTCTTCTCTCTAATTCAGTAATATTTGGATTAGGATAAGAACTCCTGAGATGATCAGCCCTGTCAGTTAGTGAAAATGAGATTCGATTATTTTACTTTATTGGTTCTGTCAGATTCGTAAGCCAATCCACAAAATCATCCATAGATAAGCTCTATCGTCTTAAGAATCCGACAAATTCAATTCAGCAAAATAATCTAATCTATCAAATTCCATGTAACCACTATGAGATCAAGTAACTAAGTCAGAACGGCTTATCGGAGTCGGATAGATTAGTGGAACATAGGAATGTAGTTAAATATAGAATGACAGACCCCAACAAGATCAATAATTTAGGAAAAAGCTCTGATAATGAAATGCATGCTTTAACACGCAACTACACAATAGGCTGGTATAGAATGGCTGAACTTAAGTCCAATATAATTAGATAGGTATAGAGAGAGAGAGGGATTGATTACTGAATCTTAGTTCATCGACTTAATACCCAGTACATTTGATAGGAATGACACAACACCTATCTGTGCCAGAGATATGGAAAAGTCTACTATCAATGAAGGAAACGAATGTGAAGTGATATGACTATAGGAATAGGAACCACAAGACAGTTTTATTTGTACTATCCGAAGAGTATTGTTTTAGTGCATGTAATTACGCCGTATTCAGTCACTGTTGACATACCAGAGTTGACAACCTTCAGAAAATGCATTCATGCGCAATAATTACTAACTGACTAATGATTAATAGAAATTCGTCAATTTGTGAAGGTTAACTCAGTTATCGTATTTAGATAGGGATGCGTCATCCATGTTACTATGCGTGCTGATATGGTCTACTTACAGATTTTACGGATAATAGCAATAGGAAGGTGTATTATGTTCTGAGCTCCATGAAAAGACCCATTTTTGTCAAACCGAAATCTAATGCTTTCTTTCCACCACATAACACGTCAGGGACTTTTCATAGGGTAAACATGGCTTAATTGTAGAACTATTTTGCTGAGAAGAGAAACGGAAATGTCTCAAAAACACTGTATCTTAAATGCATTGAATTTATGGTTAGCAAATAAAGAAAGACCAGAGCTAATGAAAACTATTACCAGCGTAACTTAGAGACTGTTCACAAAGTGGACGTTCATAAAAAAAGAGCATAGTCCTCCTTTGGATTCTACTTCGATCATACTTCATGTCCTACCAATATGTTTGAATCTCTTATAAATAAATTTTGGGGGCGATCTGTAGGAACTGCACACTCGAGGGAACTAATGTCTCCTATGAAGTTCAAACCCGTGCCACTCAGTGTCGTATTTAGCTACGCTATCTCATGTGAGACTGGACTATATACACTTACTGGTCACTGGAGAACAATCAATCTCATTTTGTCTCATCTGACTAAACTTTCTCAAAAAAATGATGGGATGGTAATCCCCCTAGATTCATGATCACACAGCAAAATGGTTGCCAGAATGTAATCAGTACTTAGGGCTAGGCAACAAGAGAATGGTTACACTCCAGTAACCAATCAATATACAGTTTTTTTAAGTGAGGAGATAATATGACGCTAAGATGAATAAAGAAACATTCTGAAGCACTCACACAAATTGTCACTATCAATAGTAAGTCGGTAAGATTTTCTGGTTCATGGTCCTGTGCTCTCTGGAATTCAATACAAAAGCATCTTTATAATTTCCTGGATACCAACTTTTTCGGTCAGTGCCCATTTTGCTGGAATATTCCAATCCGAATCGCTTGTCTAAATATTTTACAGATATATGTATTTAATATGATGGGAAACAAATTCATTAACAGTTATTCTATGAACTAATCAACAAACTACTGAAGTAACTTTTTATTTAAATACACAGGGTCAAATCTTGATTGGAATGTGAGTATAATGCCTTTTAGCATCTTAACATTACTTCGAACTGATATCTACTGGAAACGTAATTTACAAACGAAAGACTAGTAATTTTGTCATGAAACTGTATACATCACTGGAACTTAGTCACAGCATTCTTCTAGAGTATTATTATGTACTCATTTGGTCTGTTTGCTACCATGAGTAGATAAAATTACAATCAGTGATTTGTAGGTGCTTAGTCATCCTGTTATTGTCACCTGTGTACTATGAATTGTTAACTAAAATAGGATTCAACTTAAAGGTTTATGGAGATATATTGACTTCAAGGTTGGTTTCATCACGGACTGGTATCGTTTGAAGAACCACTGGATAGATATTTTCTTATAACATGAGGCTCCTCAGCTGTCAGCATCCATGATCCCACCACGACTCGAGCCCAGGACCTACAGGCTTTTCGGCCAACACACTACTACTTAGCCAGGGAGTCGAAATTCAATCATCTGCATTTTCCTAACTCACTCAATTCGCCACATAGTGTAACCTTCATCCAATGCACGCGTTAAATATTTGTCCCTACCTCTGACTTGCTTCGTGTCATGGCAGGAGGAGGATCACAGTCCTAGTGGTTACTACTGGCCTAGAGCACATCCAAACAAAACTCAGCTGGTAATCAGGTCTTAATTTCTTTTCACTCACCAAGGTTTTTCTTTGGATACCATGTGAGTTCATGATGCATTACTGTCCGTTCATTGTATTCGCAGTGGCTTCTCAGTCGAGCTTCCTCATTCCAATGCTGAATTGAGCTGAATTAAATAGGGTAACATCCTTCATTATATTGGTATTTGTATCTCCTAATGAGCATAAAACAAAATAAATTTGTTCCAACTGACATTTCGCCACTTAATGCTGTTAATAGCTTTATGAAAGTTATAGTAAACCGGAATTTACAATATCCCCCAGGCTTATATATGATAACTTGAGAAGAGTTCATCTGTAAGAATGATTCTCTTGTCGAAATTGTAGAATAAACATGGTATCCGTTTGTAGTTTATTGTATATGTAGAATGAATGAGTTACAGATTGAGATTCTTATGTTCACATGTGTTAATAGTTCTTATCGTATGTATTTTACTCACATTAGTATGTGTGGTAGGGTGGGTTGAGGCCAGGTCAAACTATTATTTATTCCCTTATTCCTATGCAGACAATTTTGATTCCACTTTACGTGAAGAGATTCTGCTATGACAGGTTCTTTATAATTTCTACAGCTTTTCTGAATAGTTTCGATATCATCATTTGACTAGCTGAGATAGTCATAGTTTGGCAGACTAGTATTTATACACTGGGTGATGATTGAAGGTGAGATGAAAATCTGGACCGCTATCGGATTCGAACCAGCGACCATCGGTCTCAATATTGTCAAAATCAACTCTGTGACCTGAAATTATAGCATGTACAGCAGCTATAGCTCATGTGTTTTGAAGTTTTTTTCATTTCCACTGGATTTCTATGGGACTGAGTGAAAGCTTTTCGGTGTACAATTTTTCTAATTTTGATTGCACATGAAGTTTATTCTATGTATATCGCATCACAGTCTGAGCATTTTATTTTACAAACATAATTAGATTATGAATCTACAGGGGTCTCTTCCTTGAAATGAAAAAAGATGCTCTACAGTGTGTTTGATGTCCTGTAGAACATTCTGATATTGTACCTGTTGAAGACTCAGATATTTAGAAAGGCTGTATGCTTCTGTGTTGATGAGCTCCACAATTGGCCTGAGGGTAGCATCATACTGATCACCAGTCTGACTATCTTTGACGACCGTCTCTCGGTATACTGGTAATCTGTAATGTACATTTCTGTTGAATATTTAGAATATCTTCTAATTTACACAAGCATCAAAACATTGAACTGTAGAATTATATGCCAAATGAGAAATCCGAAATTGTGGCATCTTTACATCAGTGGGAAATACATGAAATAAGTAGAACTTTATCCATTCATCTTAATAAATCGCCTAATATGGTAAACAAAACTAAAAGTCTTAATCTAAGCAGCTTCATGGGATAGTAGATCTATTCATTCGGTAACATTTTGTGAAAAGTTGTTAATTTTGTTTTAAGACATATAAGCAAATAAAGATTATGCATGAAGTCCTGTCCACTTTTTCCCACATTTAGGGATGTCTTAGTAATTTCTCCATAAATGGATTACCTTCGTATGATTTATTGAAGATGGCTAAAACAAAATATCCTGTAAACTGGACAATTCCAATTTGTCAAGATCAAATTATTCCTGGATGTTTTGAAAGACCTAATGATGTATTAAACTGCAATAAAATTGGTCGTGATCACAAGCATGAAACAGAACACGAATATCAAAGTACTAAATTACAACATTTAAGACCATATTGTTTAAATGATGGAATTTGTTTACAATCGTGGAAATCTGTAAAATGTGCTTGTGAATTGACTACATTTGAAGGAGATAGATGCACAAGAGGTTAGTTGAGATATATATGTACTTTTGTAGTGATTCTTGTGATATTACACTTCTAGTTGTACCAGCGTCTGAATAAGTGGTGATAATATTTATCAGATAATGTAGAAAATTGACCATCACCTGCAATTCTTCCAGAATTACCACATGCAGCCACAGAACTACAAGTGAACACAAATCCTCCAACAAAACTGGGAGTCCCAAACGCCACAAAGCTACTGAAATACGGGAGAGCAGCGGGACCAGACGGAATTCTGCCAGAAGCACTGAGAGCAGACGCAGCGACAACAGCGGAAATGCTCACACCACTATCGTAGAAGGTTTGGAAGGAAAGGAAGGTACCTACAGATTGGAAGAAGGGGTACCTTGTCAAACTCCTGAAGAAGGGAGATCTAAGTGTTTGAAAAAACTGGCGAGGAATCACGTTCCTGTCCAACCCAAGCAAAATATTAAGCGGTATCATCCTGGAGAGACTAAAGGATGCACTGGATTCAAAACTACGACCAGAACAGGCTGGATTCAGGAAGTACAAATCGTGTGCGGACCAAATTGCAACACTAAGCTGCTCATCACCATATAACAGATTATAGAATGGCAGTCAACTCTCCGCCTCAACGTTATCGACTTTGAGAAGGCCTTTGACAGCGTCGACCGAGAGGTAATTTGGAAACTGCTTCAATACTACGGAATACCACAAACCTTTATCAATCTCGTTCAACAACTATATGAAGATGCCACATGCCAAGTAATTCACAATGGAAAGTTCAGCTCATTGATGCCTTCAGAGTAGGTAGAGACTGACAACACTTCTCAGTTGTACCACATTGAACTTTAGTTTCTTTTAGTGAATGTAACTTTATGGATAACGCATAAACAGGTTACCGATATTAGTGTAGGCTGAAAGTATCACAGATCGACCTTGACTCTATCATGTTGACCACTTTCAAAATGCATGATCCACACTAACAGACTGTAGTGCATTGAGATGTAGTACAGTACACCTTTTATTCTACAGTTGGTTAGATGTTGCTCGAAATTCATGTACATAGTAGTCCAAGAAATACTAATCAATGATTAGTTCAATTTAGAATAACTGACCTTGATGTAAGTAATTTTTCAGTAAGGAGTTTATCTCATAATCAAATAATTTGAAATACTGGCATTAAGGGGATCCACAACACACAGCTGACATTTTTAAACAGTTCTAGAAGTTCTGTTGTCTCATCCTATGTTAATACGTTTAGTATAACTTTAAAATGATATAATTATACATAGAGGTGTTTCATTAGATTCAGAGTAGCTAATATCAGATGAAATACACACTGTGACTAGGCTTTTAAAACACTAATGCTGTTCAGCTCGTTACCATTTAGTCCTAAAGATACAAACTTGTACTCCTTCCTGGTTGGGATTCTTTGAATCAGTGGTTAGTGATTAGATGTACAAATAATTTCCCAGGTAATCATTTTTGCATGTCACAAGAGTAGTTTATTCTTACACTTTCAGTATATAATTCTGTATATGAACTCTACTTTTCTGTAAGTGACAACCCATTTCTTGATTAGCTACTGTATGTTTGTATTTCGCATTACCTTTCAGCTGGTACCACATTTCAGTTCGGTAACAATCAGAATATGCAAGCAGCTACCCATTTATTTGATGAGAAAAAGGCAATCAACAGTAAAAATGATGTAGGCTATTTACGCATAATGTATAAAGATCGTGTAAGAAACACGAGACAAGATGAATTTATACTTGGTATTCAGACATTTTCATCAGAGGTTGACAAAGAAGAGCAACATGATCGTTTGACATCCATATCAACTTTATTATTCATTACAAGCTTAAACCAAGTGGGTGATTTTGTTCACTTATTTCTGGTAAGTATTTATGAATTGCTGGTTGAAGATTATACAGTTATACGTGATATGTATTCGCATAACTTCTGTTAGATCGATTTGTGAGACTGATGGGTTAGCCTTGGGTTTACCACTTGGCCGTATTCTAGCTGACATATTTCTTGCCAAACTGGAGAACGGAGCATTGAAAGATATCATTATTGAGATGAATATGTTATCACCGTTGTAGTGACGACACATTCATTATCCTGGGTCAGAATGTGGATACAAACGAGGTACACCCTTCACTCACTTTCACTTGTGAGAAAGGAAATACGAGTAAACTACATTTCTTGGATGTTTTATTAAGCAGAGAAAGAGATGATTGCTTCAGCAGGTGTGTTTACAGGACAACTAAATCTATAAGTCAGTACACACATTTTTTAGTCACATGCCCATTCCGTACAAAGCAAGCCTAGTTAAATGCCTCACTAACGGAGCGAGGAGAATATGTTCGGATGATTTAACATAGAAGGAGTTAGAATACGTTCATAATTCATTGGCCGAAATGAGCTAACCTAACAGTTCCATAAAAAGACAAAGTGAAAAGAAACAAACCTGGGATTATTACCATAAAAAAGAAACCACTGTTCATGAAACTGGAATTTAATGGAGTTGTAATGGAAGTTTTTATCAGAGACTTTCTAGAGCCGTTAAGAGGACTTTCTACGCCGCATAACTCTGTTGACCAGTTGTTGTTGAATAGACAAAAGATAACGCATTTAGTTTCGCCATTTCTATGTGTATTTACAAGTTTAGCTGTTCCTTTGTGGAAAGTTACATAGAGCATGCTACTGGACAACTTAACCGATGTATTGCTGAGCATCTACCTTCATGCTTAGGAAAGAGATAAATAAAATCCATCAGAAGTTCAGTTTTATCTCATCTCGTTCATAGTGGTCACTTGGCAGATAAGAACATTGCTTTCAAGATCTTTCACCGCATGCCATCTAATTTTTCGAAAGGTATTTGTACTCGTCTTTCACACATAGCAGAAGCTATGGAAAATCGAGCTAATAATCCTAGTTTTTGTAGCCAAATGAATTTTGTACATCTCTTATCTCTGCCTTGACCAGAGAATACTTAATTAACCACTTTGTCATTCAGACGTTTTCCTCCCTATTCTTATTCTTCACCCCTTTTTATATACCAACTATATTTGTTTAGACTTTTTCTTATCTACTTACACCTTCCTTTATTACTGTGTAATGTATTTTCTCAAGCTTTTGATCCACCTTTATTATTGGAGTGTTTACATTTTCATGGTGTTTTCTTGGTTCTTGTCATCATTTATGCTAGGTGATGATTGGGGGTGAAATTAAAATTTGGACCGCGGTCGGATTCGAACCAGCGACCGCAGGGTTTCCAGCCCGATGCTCTACCAGCTGAGCTACGAAGTGAAGTAAAAATCTGGTCAGTAGTCAAACTTCATAGCTCAGTTGGTCGAGCGTCGAACTGGAAACTCGGTTGTCTTTGTTTTGAATCTGACCACGTTCATTGCCTAGTGCGCCAAATCACAACTATCTCAGATAGTCCAAGTGAAAATTTAGATATGCGGAACTTTTATCAACAAACTAATCAAAGAATAAAAAATGGTATAGTGTATAACCGAGGTGAGGTAGTTGTGTGATTATCTTGATGTGCATAAGTGTCATAAATTCTACTAGAAATTTCATCAGTAGAAATACTCTTTCATTGTGTGATACACACCTAGAACTAACTATAAGTGAACTCTGATTAGGTCAGGCTGGCATTCATGATGGACTGACATTATGAGGAGTAGGGCCAGCCAAGTCGGGTATTAGGACAAGTACTCAGCGACGGCACTAGAAAGAGGTTGCAAAATATCATGAACTAACAGAAGTAGGAAATACTGCTCAATGGATTTCGACCTAGTGACTCATTGTTAACGTGCTGGACATAGAACATGAAGATTCTGGGTTCGATCTCTGGGTTGAGGGAACATGAGTGCGCGTTTCTGAGAAATTCTACCTTAGAACGAAACAGCAGTTCAGTGCTTTTAGGTTTCTATTTGTTCATCAGCTGATGTCATTCCATGATGAATACAAACCTGAAATCAATGAATAAATCTTAAAAAACCTTCCATGTGATTTATGAAATCACACTAAAATTATAAAGGCAGTATATAGTGTCATCCAAAAAAGTCTATTTATGTATTTCAGATACTTGTCTGTTGAAATCTACTTGAATACAAAAACATCAGTGAAATGATTCATTGAAAACACTTTAATCCCTGTCGTCTATCAAACTATAATTGGTTGGTGCCTATTTCAAGGTTTTCAATAAGTATGACTTTAGATTCAATCTCCTCCTCATCATAAAAGATGCTTCTAAGCTATAAATTTCCCTACTATTTCAGTGAATTTTTATCAGATCTTAATTCCAAAATATAAGAGCAGTATGTTTTGTACCTCCACTGGATGTTCTAGAGTTCATTGTCACTCATATTTCTTGGGTTGATGTTGAAAGATGCTAAATAATTTCTTCTTTAGAAAGAGGTTCAGAAAGGTTATTCAGTTACAACTACCAAACCAGTTTGTGAAAAAAAAGTAATTTTAGGTGATTTTATAGACACAGAGATCAAAAATTAACTAAATGGAACTGATTCACTTGACGTTCAGATGAATAGATTATAAAAGAAATATTCTTGTAAAATTCTAGTGACGTAAGAAAATAAATTTTTGATGTCTGACGAATCTGTGGAAGTCTCTTCTTCAGAGAATAAAATATAGACAAGTTATTACATGCTTAAATACTAAATGGAGACAAATCAGATCATGTTGTTCATAAATGATAATAATATAGACATAAATGTCATCGACATCAGATATCAATCTGTGAGTTCAAGTTGAAGATATGAATGTGTGTGCATATGTGAATGGATGTGAATATGTGATAGAAATACTATGGATGAAGGATTCAGTTTGTTTGTGTATATATACTTTAGTCTCTATGATCGTGTGTAACGCATCATTTCAGAGATACACTGTCCAAGTTGGTTGAGTACTTAGACTTTTCTTTCTTTCTTTTGAGTACATTTCGATTCAACATGATGTAGAATGCTTCAATCATCCATCTTTCCTTATAGTTTGTAATTTCTGTTTTGAATACTTTGAATATTTTCAATAACAATTTCGTGACTATGGTAGATGACATGAGATCAGTAATTGACGATTTCATTTGTAAATTCACCAGTTAATGTGAGAACTAAGAAATCATGTGAAGTGTTCATCATAACTAATCAGTCATCTCTTATTACTAAAGTTATCGACTCTCTAAATTAACAGGATCTTTCCAGCTCCTCAAAGTATAAAGTTACTTTTCTGATGCAAAACAGAGTTAGAGTCCATCAATTACTGTCGCAAGAAGGTTTTATACACCTAGTTCTTCTTCTCTTGTATAAAAACTCATCAACATTTAAACTTGTCAAGATTCTATTTCGATGTCTGGATATGTTTAAATCACTCAACAAACAATGGTAAGATTTATTAATTTTTGTGAAGAAATTGAAAAGTAACCATAATCAACTATGAAATATTCAAATAGTTATCTTCATGAAATTAAGCGCACTACTGACCAAAAATTGGTTTTCTTTAGTACCTTCAAAAACTATTGCTTCCCTTTTAACATTGAGTCACTTAGTTCAAACTTCACTATTTTGTCTTAACTACTAATGTTGGAGACCATAGGACCAGAAATTCGACCTGATAGAGTTGAATAGTTTGATCATTGATCAAGTAGATTAGAAACTGGTGTTCATCACGGACTGGCATAATTTGTAGGAACATTAGGCACCTGAGAGCACTGCATACTTTATTATCTTAGTATGAGACGACTCAAAAGTGCGCACCCATGACCTCACACCCCAGAGATCCAACCTCCAGGTTCCTCAGCCAGTACGGTACCATCAAACTACGGAGTCAGAATCCAGTGGTCTACATCTCCAACCTCTGTTAGTCCATAAGGTTGTATGACCATAATACAATGCCATTATTGAGTATTTTCCGTCGTATCCACTAGGTTCGCCCCACCAGTCACGACTTCTGAATAGAACACCAGAAATTGCCCCTCAAAGCTAGTCACCAAGGAGTACTAGGTGAATTCAATTTAAGGGTTTGTGGGGATACAGTGATTTTTCAGATTGGTATTCATCAATAACTGACATCAGTTGAAGAAACACTGCGAACCGGAGTTCTCCCATGTTTCTAATGTTCCTCCAGCTGATGTCAGTCAGTGATGAATACCAACTTGAAAAATCACTAAATCTCCACAAACCTCAGGGAATTAAATAGATTAGGAAGGAAATACATTAGTAAAATCCGAGTGAGATGGAAAAGAAATTTATGGTGTTTCATAATCTTATGAAAGTCTCTTCTTCAGAGAATAAAATATAGACAAGTTATTACATGCTTAAATACTAAATGGAGACAAATCAGATCATGTTGTTCATACATGATAATAATATAGACATAAATGTCATCGACATCAGATATCAATCTGTGAGTTCAAGTTGAAGATATGAATGTGTGTGCATATGTGAATGGATGTGAATATGTGATAGAAATACTATGGATGAAGGATTCAGTTTGTTTGTGTATATATACTTTAGTCTCTATGATCGTGTGTAACGCATCATTTCAGAGATACACTGTCCAAGTTGGTTGAGTACTTAGACTTTTCTTTCTTTCTTTTGAGTACATTTCGATTCAACATGATGTAGAATGCTTCAATCATCCATCTTTCTTATAGTTTGTAATTTCTGTTTTGAATACTTTGAATATTTTCAATAACAATTTCGTGACTATGGTAGATGACATGAGATCAGTAATTGACGATTTCATTTGTAAATTCACCAGTTTCACAGGATTATTTCGTGGCCGTTCTGTATAACTTGCATGTACTTCAACAAGAATGAGGGTCTCTCGGGATGGTTCCACAATATAATAAGCATCACAATCGAC